TGGTAAACCTAGTGAGTATCCACCTACTGCTATCATTTTTATTATTCACGTTGTTGAAGGCTCTGTGGTGCAAAGGCTTAGCAATGATTTGCAGCGCTAAGGAGCCGCGGGTTCTTATCCCGCACGGAACAAGTATTTGTATGACTTATGAATAATTATTCCGAGTCTGGCTGTTCGCCTTTGTGAAATTTATGTATGTTAACTGCCCCAACGATACAGAAGAAAAGTCTTAGTGCGAAGGTAACATTTAGAACAACAGAAAAGGTTAATAAAAATAAACGTGAAAGGGAGAGTTCCGAGACGCGAAATTAAAAAGGTAGTTTTTTGTATATTAAGTTTTGAAACATGATTTTATTGTGTAAATAACACATTGTATTCTACATATTCATTTAATTATTCTAAACGTTTTCTTTTAGGCCTGGATATATTCGTTTATAAACATCAGACTATGTAAATAATTTTCGAACTCATTCCCAGTGACGAGAGTGTCTGACGTGTAGATAGATAAAGAAATATGTAGCAAGCTGTGTGTTCTGATGCCAAATGTACGATGCATACGTAGGTCAAGGGTGTCCACCAACGCAGGGCTTTGAATCGCATACGTTGCGTACGTGGAAGCAGTCTGTTTCTCCCTTTATTCGGCGTTATTACGTTACTTTACCTTCCGGCATATTCATCTTAATCATATTACGGCTGTGCCACGAAAAGGCCGGATAGATCGCGAATTAACCACGTTTGAATCGAATAAAAATAATTGACAGAAGCATAATGTTGTTATATTATGTATGCTAGTGAATAACGCGAGCCGATTGCTTTTTTAAACGGTAACGAAGCATATGACCTTAGTTTGCAGGTGAAAAAACAATTGAAGCTGCAGCATGCCATATGTATTCGGTACTCAGTAAGGGGTGCGCCATCTAGTACCGAGTACTAGATGGCGCATATGCATTATGCATACGCATATGTATTAGTGTGTAACGAAACGTTACACACTAATGCATATCGTTACTCGCATTTTTCGTAATATAACTACACTGTTTCAGTTCACGCAAGTACTGTTGATGCGTGTTTTGAAAAATTTGCTTATTCGGTGAATTTAAAAACGTACGTTACAAAGAGTGATGTTTGTTTATTAAGTAAAGTATAATTTGGAAATTCGTCGTCCAAGTTTTTTTACTGTTTATCAAAGATTTGTGTGTGAAGACAAAGTTTTAGATTGGAACAGAAACAAGGTAAAAAGTAATTTTTACAAATTAGAAATAAGTATATTTTGTACAAATTATGAATGTTGCGATGCCGCGACGTCATACTGTACGCGTAGGCAATACGACTTGATCCGATGCTCTAACATAACATAGCATGTTATGAGGTATCAGAAGTAACGAGTAACGCAACGATACGAAAGTACTTACGTGGTAGAGCCATGTTGCAGTTGTATTAGTAGTAAAGTTGTAGCACGAATGGGTCGGCTCGACCGGGGAAGGACCACGCTCTCTCAAAATACCAGCGTAAAATAGTAGCTTAATGCTGCTGTGTTTCGTATGGTGAGTGTAGAGAACCGGAGACCCTTTTTACTGGAAACGACGCATTCCATCTTGGTCCTCACGGGTGACAACGCATCTGCATTTTGTAGGTGTTTATGGGTCACAGCAATCACTTACCATCAGGTGGACTGTGTGCTCGTTTGTCACCCTATCCTATAAAAAAAGTAACGTGTACTAATTATTATAATAACGAATACATACGGGTACGCGTTTATTCGTTACTTTTACAACTCTAGAAGCAACATTACTGATTTTCATTCTTAACCAATAATAGATGTCTCCATGAGCTGCAGTAACCAGTAGTCTTACCATTTGGTGGTACTGTTAGTTCGTTTGTCACTTCAATTTCATATAAACAAAAATTACAGTAATTGGGGACTGCCGACATAAGGGTAAACTGAAATCTATGGAAAACCAGTAGATTTATGGTTTTCAAATTAATCGCTGTATCAAAAATCTAAATTTTATATTTTATTCATATTTATTTATTTATATTTTAGTTAGTTTGGTTTATACATGTATCGATACTCCGAGTAACAATTATATAAATTTTTAAATGGTATTTCAATATTTATCAATCAAATGTAAATATGATAGGCTACAAAATAAAAATTGACAAAATAGTTATATTATATACAGAGTGTTGGTGACATGAACTCATAGATTTTACCCATACAAAAAGCGTTCAACGAGCATATTATATAAGCAACACCTCGTAATTATAACTACTAAGATGACATACTGTTAACCTCAGCATATCGGTGACGCGAACTCATAAGATTTTACTCATACAAAAAGCATCCAACGCGCATATATCGCAGCAACGCGCATATAGCGCAGCAGGTCATACTTATAACTACAGATAATATACTGTTAACATCAGCATGTCGGTGACGCGAACTCATAAGATTTCGTCTATCCAAAAATCCCTAAAGAAATTTTCAGTACAAAATTATTGCACGTCCTAGATTTTTATCTGATAACATGTAGTGATGTAATGATATTCTGGTCACAAAATATAAGGCACGCTATCTAAGATCTGAGGACTGATCGTTTCTCTTCCTGTCAGGTGGACTACAAGCTCATTTGTCACTTATCATTAATAATAAATAAATAATGATGTACCTTTACGACGTTATTTATTCGGCCATATCCAGAGACCAGACATTTTCCTTGGTAATCAGCATAGCGGCTTGCGTACGGTATGGCGTTCACGTATTCGTTGTAACTGAACGGATCTGTGGTAAACTAGTAACAAAAATATAATGTACGATTTCCCTTACTTTTTACTGATTACTGATGGATGCAGGTGATATCGGCGTTACAGTATCAGTCATTTACCATGAGGTCTTTCTGGGTTTCTGGCCTCTAGCAAGGCCAGAAAGATAGACCTCCAATTGATGGCAGTATACCATCTCGTATATGCTAGATGTATAATATCCAGACCGGTGATGTGGAAATTCTATGTGATGACTTTGATTATTAACTTCAATCATTAACAAGTTTCAAATGAAGAAAAATCAAAATTTAAAGAATGATAATAATCATTATCTGTACAGCCCCAACGAATACCACAAAACATTGTGCTGATCCACCTGCATCCATTCACTTTCTGCATGACATGAAAATAATAATTAGAAAAAAAAATTTCTTACGTTGATTCCCTCCGGAGAAATTCGTTCAAAAAGTTTTATATTTGCATTAAATATTTAGTTGCCAACTAATCTAATCAATAGGTATGATTCGTATGAAAAGTTAATCGCATGAAGAATGAATCAGTATTAATGAGATTGCCTAGCGAATGTTAATCAAACTTTTCTATAAGAGAAAATACGGATTAGCTCACGCATTTCAAATTTTGAATTATTAGAATTTTTTTACTTTCAGATACTCGGAATACATATAAAAATGTCTTGTTTTGATATCTGTATAACCGTTGCAGCCTTTAAAGTCCACAGCTGGACATAGGCTTCCATATAGATAAAGATTGCCTCATAGCTATATTTGGCATAATTGCCTCTCTTGGCAGGCGGGTTGGCAGCCGAAGTTTTAGTTTTTTAGTTGTTAGCGAAGTGTAGGGCGTTCCCAACTAGATGGAGTGACCTGGTAAGACATGTAGAAAGGCGATGGATGCAGGTGGGTCAGGACGGTGCTTTGTGACATTCCTTGGTAATGATGATGATGATTTGTTATTAGGAAGACATTGCTGCTCGTTGCCTGATTTGATTCCTTCTGTCGCCTCTTGCCACATCTACGTGATGATGTGGGGTTGTGGATATTCTTACATCACCACTATATGGTCGTATATAAAAACTATTATATTTCTAAAAAAATCTAGCTGAAAATATGCTTTTTTATCATGAAATTAATACTTCAGGCCCTTTTTTACCAAAACTTTGTCTACAAAAATCAAAACAAGTACATGTCTACCCTAGAAAAGTTTAATTTTATTTACGGTTTATAGTACAGATACAATCCCTACACGGCGCATTCTGAACGTTGAGAGTTCAAATGATCTTAGTTATTTCGAAGAGCTGTTTGATATCCATTTGTGCCACTTTGCAGCATTAAACTTTCAGTTGTAATCCAGCTTAAAGAATAAGAGAACTAGTAGAATTCCAGGGTGTGACGTGTAGTAATGTACCTTATACCTCCTTCTCTTCCTTTCCTTCTTTGTTTAAAGTTGGTTGCAGGTGTCTATGGAGTACAATAGCTACTTATTGTCACCACATGCGTCATATTCGTGAACAGTCTGCTTGTTTTCGCTTTGATAAGTTCCAAAGTTTTAATTGTCTTTTTAAACACGCTTTTATAAGCTTCGCGTGTATCTATGTAAAAGAATCTTTAATATAATCTTCAACAAATTGTATACGGGCAATTTACTTGAAAATTCGCACGCGTATTAAGAACCGATGACAATATAATAATTAATTAAGTTATCCTAGTATCCTGATCAGGATAATTATCATAGCTCATCTTGGTACATTGATTATTGTTTTAAATTCTGTGTTTATTATGCTGTAATATTAAGTTCAAAAATAGAAAAACAAAAAGAGAACACCGACGGAGTTTTTTTGCGCCATTTATTCTACGGTGACATGAACCTCATTTCAAAACGTTTAATTCAAAAAAAAATCTACTAAAGAATTGAACAAAATTTTATTCTTTCTTCCTTTCGTCGAAAAAATAAAAATTTCATTTCCTTTCATCAGGTGCACTGTTACCACGTTTACTATTACATCCTATCAAAAGTCCAGTGCTGAATATTGGCCACCCCAAATAGATTACTACATAGGAGAGACTTGCCAGAGGGGTTGAAAACGCAGTTTTTTTGTTATTATTAATAAGACGTTGCTGTCCATTTCTTGGTTCGTTAACCTACGTCGCTAATTACGACGTGGACTATGCACGTTTCTACTCTATTTATTTTTATAATTACAGTATTGTAAGAAAATATCATACCACAATACAAATATCCTTCTTAGGAAACTTGTACTTGGCCGGGTATAATACTTCTTTCAGCTTTCTCCACTGTCCTTCAGGAGTATCGTCACTCATCGGCTTATAGCCTTTGTTGTTCAGTGTACCAGCCACTGCGTACTTGTTTCGCAAATCTTTTTCTCGAATGCGCCTGTAGGAAAAACACATGTAAATCTTAAAGTCACAGGTAATAAATTTGCTTTTTGAAAGTGCTCATGGCTCATGGTACACTATGCTAAATAAAAAACAAGGCAATGGCTATTAAGAAATATGGAATAGTAATGATATAATATGAATATACTAGGGGATTTTTTTACCGTCTGGAAAAAGTAGGGTGTAACAGGTGAACAGATGGTACTGATATTTTACAATTTTATTTATTTTACGGTTACATATTATGAAATTGATCTATCAAAAATACTACTACTGATTTAAAATAAAATTTCGGTACTAAAAATAACAAAATTTTGAACTAAATAAATTAATCAATGAAAAAACTATTGAAATTAAAATACGTACCCAGTTAGTAATTTAATTTCAACATTTATTTCCACTTTCATTTGTGAAACACTTCCTTCCTTCATAGTCTTTCAAAAGTATCCCCCCCCCCCTATTCTCCCCTAGATTGCTTCATGAGAGAGATATTTACAATAGTTGATACGATTGGCAAGCTGGTTGGAAATCGTTGTCATTTTTGATCATATGTATCAGGAAGATGCTGCTGCTCTTCTCCTTGTTTAGTTTCCCTCTGTCGTTTCTTAAGACGTCCACGGCATAAAAAAGGGGTATTGGAGATGCTTACACCCTACACGTTTCGTGAAACACTTCAGTAATAGTTGTTTTTGTGAAATAGAAACGATTATTTGGTAATGTTTAACCGGTTATCTTTTATTTAGCAATCAATAACCTTCTTATTTATAACTTGAAACCTTGTTCGTGTATTAGCGAATGCTCGTAACTTACTTCGTGTGATATTAATAAATTAGCTTTATTTTTGGACTTAAGAATCCCAAGCGAGCACGCAGTTCACCGGATGGTAAGTGGATGCTGTGACATTTACATCCTTCAAATAAGAATCAAAGTTCGGATGCGTTGTCTCCCCGATGACTTAGATGGAATGCTTCGTTTCCGATACAAGGGGTCTCCTCTTCTCTACACTCATCACAGGAAACAGCGGAATAAAGCTGATATTTTACCTTGGTTTGTGAGAGCGTTGTTCTTCCTCGATCAAGCCGATTCATTCGTGTTACTACCACAACAATCTACGAACTAACTACGCCGGTTACACGTTTTTACGAAGTCAAAATTCAATTGTCGTAAAAGGCTAATAAATAATGTAAATGTAAAGTAAAAAAAATTATATTTTAGATTAAAATCCAAATGCTATTTGTGAAGTTTGACAAGATATGATAAATTTCATCAGTATTCATAAAAGGACACCGGACTATGGACAGGGACCATTGTAGAATGGATGTGCCATCATCGCTACCTTTGGCAGACGAATTGGCGAGCACAATACGAGACGTCTCGCATCTGTGACGCTGCTCCCGGTCGTCGGCTTGTGTTGGTAACAATCTGCATAAATATGCGGCAAAGCCCTTGTCTATCAGAGATTAGATCTTAAAACTTTAAAACTTCTTATTGTGGCCTCTTATGACACTAATTCATAGTATACGAGTTTATAATAGTATCAAAAAATATAAACTACACACATAAATATAAAAAAACATTCACGCATAGAAGAGATTATGGACTTTCATTTATTCCATTTAATTATATATTTTAAGCTATTGCATAGCTTCTATCGCGGGCCTTGAGCGCGGGGACCGAATCCAGAAATTCCGTAACGAAAAAAAACCTCACGCTCCCCACTCCGATGGGCACGGAGGTGTGGCGTTGAAAGCCGTGCATCGTCTAACGTCGTTTTAGTTCGGCAGACTTCGGCACTCGGCAGACTTCGGCACGGTGTTTGTGTGCGTGTACACTAGCTGCTAACTCAATGATAAAAATTCCTAAATAACCAACATGTATTGTAAGGTATTAAAAATATTATAAACAATATTAACTTCTCATTTAATATTCAATAAGAGAAAAAAATTGTTTTCTTATCGGTCACCACGCTCAAAAAGTGTAACTTGATTTAATATGAAAGACTTAACTGCATAAATAAAATAAATAAATAATTATAATTGCATAAGTTGATAAAAAATGCTATGCAATAGCTTTACCGCGGCAGTCACCGAGTGCCACACGTATTTTTTATGTTTAGTAGTGTAAGCTTAGTAAATACCATAGACAATAGCACATATCTTGTCTGTATTAATATTCAATTTGATTTTACCGTATAGGTAGTACTTTTAAACGCATATGTGCTGATTTATTTAGATTTTTTACATACAAAGTAGAAATTAATTATATCGAGTGGGTTTGGTATTTTTTTGGATAAATGTAAATGTAAATTATAATAACAATAAAATCATATTTGGAAAAACAATACGTACCCAACTTTCATGAACATTCTTACGCATGCACTTTTGTGTGCCACGAAACAATGGGCGGCCGATATAATCTTAGTGGGTCCAACGATTGTACCACCACAGAAAGTTATATATTTAAGACTTGCACGCGGTGCTTTAAATGCCACCTAAAAGATTCGATTAAATTATGATTTTTTTATATTTAATGAGTTCCACAAATGTGTGTATACATTTTTATTTATTATTACCAGTGTGAAAAACGAACTGACAAACCACCCTGTGCTAAGTGGCTACTTCAAAATGTCTGTCACATATAACTAGATTGGGTTCGTTTTAACTTTTAAACCGGAACACAGGAGTAAACGCACTGCTACTTAGCAGCAGAAATAGAAAAGAAGGCTATAGTAGCATAATGTAATGTTTTATACGGTAAGTGAAGGGAACTCAGTTTTCAGAGGTGACAACGCTTTTGCATTCTGATAGTTTGATACTTTAATCGAGGATGTATATTGTATATTCTCGTAGACCTCGCTTGATTGTAAACATTACTTGTACGAATAGAATATTACTTAGTATATGAATGTTGGATACATTGGATTTAATGTTAGTGCATAAATTTATATAGGCTTTTCAAGAGTAAAGCACCATTGAATCTTTTTATCGAAATATATTGGCGGTGATATGAAGTTTGCCAACCAACTTTTCAGAAATGTAAGGAGGTCTGTATCCAACCCCATAATAAGAAGATTATAAGTAGGTAATTTCTTATTTTTTCTTTACTATTTGCATCTATTGCGCAAGATCGCTTGTACCTGGTATGGAACATCTCCAAGCTTTGCTGGCCAGCCGTTTACAACACGAGGCACGATTTCTATCTCAATTTTGGACGATTTATTAGTTTTGGATAAACATTTACCGAAAATAGTAAGTATAATAATATATCTTAAAATATTTGTAAACATGAAAACTGAAAAGTAAAGAAGAAGAATATAAAATTATAATAATAATAAAGAAACAGAAGAAGATTAGAAGATTTTTAGATCATTAGAAGATTACTGCATATATACTAGAGAAGATTAACTGACAGATAGTGCTGACGCTTGAATGACGTTAAATAATGACAATAATAAATCATTTTGCCATGGTCATTTTTTATTCTTTATTTGTGCTTCATTAAAATGGTTGTTGCCAAACTAGGAACAAAACAGTGATTTATATTCTCTTTGATTCACACCATCATCGACAATACAGTCCTTCACAAATCTACTGCTGTACATGGACTTCCCCCAAGTGATACTACAAAATATAGCATCGTACATATTACCTTACTTTACTTTACTAGTTTGTCACTCCATCTAATGAGGGGCCGCCCCACACTTTGACTACCGATATGAGGCTGCCACTCTGTCTCACTGCCTTTCAAACGATATGGCCGGCCAATTGCGAGTTCAGTTCATTGATCCGTTGGTTTATGTCGTGTACGAATTCTATCAGCAGAGAAACTCCGAGCGTAGCCTTTCATATAGCTCGCATACGGCTAGCAGTGTAGGACTACGCCATAGATCCATATTATAATGTCGTCATTGGCAAAACACATTAAATGCTTCCCGGTTTTTTTAAGTTCTGATTAATACTTGATTATATTATATTATGCAACTATCAATCCGCCCGGCTTCGCCTTGCTTGGATCCATTAACGTGGCGTCATTTAGGTTTAAGATGATCATGATAGAGCACTTATTTTATAGTTTTATCGATTTCAAAAAAATCTCCCAATTAATTTTAGATAAAATATAGTTTAGATCATCATTTTATACGTGATAGAGCCATGCTGCAGTTATATAAATAGTATAGTTGTAGCACGAATGGGTCGGCTCGACCGGGGAAGGACCACGCTCTCACAGAATACCAGCGTAAAATAGTAGCTTAATACTGCTGTGTTTCGTATGGTGAGTGTAAAGAACCGGAGATCCTTTTTACTGGAAACGAGGCATTCCATCTCAGTCCTCACGGGTGACAACGCATCTGCATTTTGATTTGTAAAAGAGGATAGATGTAGATGTCTATGGGCCGCAGCAACCACTTACCATCAGATGGACTGTGTGCTAGTTTGTCACCCTATCCTATAAAAATAAATCATCCTGACACTGGTTTCTATCTGATCATCTAAGTTCCATCCCAATCGGTTCACCATTCCGATGGTTAGCCGGACAGACTGATATTTGACAAAAATCATTAAAATGTTTATTCAATTCCCTCAGCTCAATTAAAGACAGTTCCGATATTATAAACAGATACCTTAATTCTATTTATGTGCATGACAACCCGTTGCGTCTTCGCCTGGATAGGATTTATTAATATGGCGTCATTAAGATTCAGGGTAGTAAAAACTATACATTTTATAAGCTTTTCGTTCTTTTTTATAAAAAAATCAAAATTTACGGATATAATATAGCCTAGATCTCTCTCGGCATTGCTCGCACTCTGTTCGTAAAGTTTCATCTCAATGGGTTCAGCCATTCCAAATATTATCCCTCAGACAGACAGACGGGCAAACAACTTTTTTTTAAATAGGTCAATGACATGCAAATAACTTACTGCTTAATAGAAGCCAGTTACTTCAATATTACAGACAGACACTTATATTTTATTTTTATATATTCGCTTTTGAATTGGAAAATTCTTTAGAATCGTGATTTGAAACTCAATATATAAAGAAAAAGCGACACAAAAAGCGACATTTAGTCTGTGAGAGAAAGAGATAGAATACAGTATATAATGATTCCTATCATCTGTCTCGGTCATGTGGTTATTCGTAGCCTTTTTCTGAATGTTTCATTTTTACCGTACTACCTCAGCTTCAATTCTAATTTCGCTCCCACTACCCCGCGCGTCGTATGCTATCTACCCACATGTTTATAATCACTTACACTGTAAGTAGATAGGTCAGTAGATACTTATTTCATTAGGTTTATTATATTTATGCTTGTTTCTTTAGGCCAACCCAGTCGCTTTTTATTTTTATTACGGTTATATCCCATTTTAATTTAACAACGTCCTGTTGCGTAATGTGTACTGATCGTAAGCGATGCAGCTTTTCCGTTCGAA